CCTCCTCCTCCTCCTTGCCATAACAATGCACCCAAGTGAGAAGAGTGATGTTTGGTGAATAGTGCAGATTCATAGAGGCGAACTTGAAACTATCCTAACATGGTAAATTCAACCTTTCCCTCCCCATCGCCACCACTTTGCAAGTTGGGATCTTGAAGACAGCAGGCCAGACCCACCCAGGGGTCAACACATCATGTATCAGTGGCAGAGCCATGGCCAACAAAGTCCTGTGACCCTGACCATAAAGACTCAGACTGCTAGACTGACAGGAAGAGGGGGTCAGGTTAACAAGAGCAGGAAATAACTGCAAACCAACTGAGGCTACAGAGTGACCACATGTTGTAGGATCAACCCAAGGACAAGGCTGGGAATCCCTGACTTCTGAGGCTGCAGGGGAAGTGTCCTAGGTGATAGGAGGCTTCCTGCCTCTCAGGCACCCAGGTGAGCTTGTCTTAGACACTCACGCTCATGTGTGAGATCTTTTGTGGAACCCACAAGGCCATGGGCCTCATTATCCTCCCAGTTCTGGCTTCCAAGTCTGTGCCTGCTGCTCTCTTTTACACCAATATATTAATCTAGTCCAAGAACCCTCAAATAACAGAAGCTTTTATTTCATGACATGTAAGAGAGGTTCAAGGGGTTCCTTCTCCTTTGTTTTTTCTTTCCCTGTCAAGAACAAAACAAGGATCTTGTCTTAGGCAGAACACTTTCTTGTCATCTCCCAAGCCTCCGGATCAGCCACCTCCCAGGCCGGCAGCTTCAGCTATCACTCCAAGGGGGCTCATTAAAGAATTAATTGCCACAATCCTGTGTTTTCCTGAGCAGGCATCCTGATGATTGAATGCTTTCTTTCTCCACAGTGAGAGTGCTCTGAGAAGCTCAAATCCCAGCTACTGATTTGATTAACTTGGGGAGTTTTCAGGAATGGGAGGAATTAAAATATTAACAGTTCTTATTTCTATGTCACACTGAATATGTTTCAGAAGGGGTCTTTGAGTCTTTGAGGCCAGTGTGTCTTCCGGCTCGGTTCAGGGTCTCCACTTCCCGCTTGCCTCTGCAAGGCCTGGGAGCTGGGCTCTTTTTCAGAGCCTACTCTTTTCCTTTTCAGTCCTTTTTAAACCTCCCATCTTTTTTTTTTTTTTTTTTGAAGCTCAGCAACTTTATTTTTTTTTATTAGTTTTATTGAGAAAGAAAGCAATGAGAGTTTCAAAACAGGTTAGTAGGACAGTTACAATAATTAATACATTGCATATTGTTGTCTTCATAGTAGTTATTCATAGTACAAGATGCACACATGATATCTTGTCTAAACACTATTAGTTCATAATCAACCTCCTATCTCGTTAGAGCAGTTACCCCTGAAAACTTGGGTTGAGGGGAAAGGATCAGGGCACCCAGGCTTAGGATTGGGTAAGTGGCCTGTGCGATCCTGGTGGGACATCAATAAGTGATCATAGCTGTTTTCCCCATTGACCCTCAACAGAAAGCTCCAGGCAGCTTCTACTGCAAAGTTGGCCTTGGTCATCAACTTCTGTTGTCCCTTGGCTTAGGCTCAGGCTGGTGAACAAAAGGAGCTTTAGTCCCCAACCTGGGGAGCAGTCCAGGGGCTGGGTTGTCAGCAGACCCTCTGGGGCTTCATGTCCATAATGCTAATATGAAAGAGCCCACAGCTGCCTGGCAGGTGCTATCTGGGCAAGTCTTGGGGTGAACTTGCAGTTGTAGAAGGTAACAGCGGGCCATGCACAGGGTACCTGCTGGACATCTCTATTGTTTTTTTCTATTAGTGACACAACCAACACTTCGTTGCTCAGGCAACAGGATAGCAGCTGAAACTGGCCAAAGGAAGACCCGGCTCACTGAGCCACCAGATGTTCCCTCAGGGGACAGGGCAGGGCTGTGTCACTGCTGGCACAGCAGGCCTGTGGGCCACTGTCCAGGTCCTGCGAGGCACACAGGTCACTGTTGTCCTCTGCTTGTCGGTCTTATCCAGCTTGGAGCCTCCAGCCCAGTGAAATCCTAATTTCCTCCCTCACAGCCAGTAGCATTCTATTGCAGCCATTTCAAGCACTAGGCTTAGGATCTCTTTATATTCTAAAATATGAGAGTCTAAAGAACCTAGAGATCCAAGAGTCTCAAATGAGAGCCTAAAGAACCTTATCACGTGGGCTTCACCATCAGTGTTTATCACATAGAAATTAAAACTGAGAAACCAAGAAAGATTTACTTATCCCTTTATTTCCAAGTAACACTAAGCCCATTAGATTAATACAGCCCTTTCATGAGAAGGTAGTGCTTTCTAAAACATGGCAATAATGCGAGAGGGGAGGCATTGCTTTGCACTTTTGCAGCTCTCTTTAATTTGTAACCTGGTGGAACACACCAGGACCAAGCATCTGCCTCCATGTCTGGTGTCTTGCCTTGTCTGGTTTTGACTCCAGGGGAGGAAACAAAGCCAGACTCACCCAGATCTGTGGCTGAAGACACGAGGAAGGTACCAGCCTTGAAGATACCTGAGTATTCCCCCCAACCCCGAGAGCTTCAAAACCTGACAAGGGGTAGCTTCTTACAGTGACTTGCAATGTCAAATCTGAAGCCATAATCGAGTAATGTGTTTTATTATGTTAAGATCCAGTTATCTAGATTTTCCCTTTGAGTAGCATTTTATAGCAGTGTACCTTAGTCATTTGGAAAACCTGGATTCTCTCGTTTATGCGGTTTTCCCAAATTGCTCAGTTTCATTACACGAATTGTTATGGTTTGTGTCTAGTTGTCCCCCCAAGCCCTCATGCAGTCATGGGGTGGCCTTCTAGAGTTGTGATTAACTCATACTGATTTTTTTTTTTCCGGAACCAGGGATTGAACTCAGGCCCTTGCACTTGCCAGGCAAGCGCTTATTCTACTGAGCCACCTCCCCGGCCCCTTTGTGATTAACTCGTGATCCACTAGGATTACGGGTGTGAGTGCTGCACCCAGCCTAGGGCAGACAGCTCAGCTGAAACATAAGGGAGACAGACTTGCTCTCTGCTACCATCGTTGCTGCTGCTCCTCCCTTTTGCTCTTGCTGTTTTGCTGTTTTCTGCAAACATGAACTGCTGCCCTCTGTCGTGTGCCAGTCTGCCTTGGAGCCAGCTGAGTATAGACTGAAATCTCCAGTGACTGTGAGCTAAATAAACCTTTCCTTCCTTCATTGTGGGTGGCATTTTGTCCCAGCAACAAGAGAAGAGTAACAAAGACACAAATGTAAAAAACATACTATTAATGTTCTTCCCTATCTCATCAAAAAGTCCTCAGGCATCAGGAGAGCTGTCAGACTCAAGTGGTGGATATAAGTCACCAAGAATTCAAAGCTTTTCCTGGAAGCTCACTGGTTATCCCTGGCGAGGCCTGCCATCATTATTTTCTGTAAAGTAACCGACTCATTTCATCCCTGCCAGCTGTCTGCACACCTGTCACCTCCAGGTGAGTACGCTGTTCTGTGGGGAGAAGTGGCAGGCAGGAGCTCGTAACAGCTGCAGGTGCTGCTTTCCTGAGTCAAGCACTGGACTAGGGTTGCCCTGGGGAAGCTTTATGGATGCTTCGCACTTGATGCTGAGGACAAAGGTGTGTGCTCAGGACAGAGAGTTGATAAGGCTAATAACTTTTCTGCCTATCAAAGTCTTAATACTGGAAGTACTGGGCCAGGGAGATAGCTCAGGTGGTCTAAGTGC